ATCCATCCTTTTCTACTTTTCTAAATGTGTGTTGGAGCGCTGTATGAATATGAATGTAGAAAATGTATTTATTGTATAAAATGATGTCTTTGCTAATGAGAAGGAAGATAGTAAAGAGAACACTGGGATTATCTGGTCTCCTTTTCCTGTTGGGGCTGAGATGGGCATCACCTTCTCCTCCAGAGCGGCCATCCTCTCCTTCAGATGCAGCTGCAGCCTCTCATTGGACTCAGACAGCAGTTTGTCCACAGTGTCAGAGAGACGCTTGTTGTGTTCATCATTCATCCGTTCCCTCTGCCTCGCCTGAGGGGCAGACAGAAAGATGATTTGAGAGAGGAAAAAAAAACCCAGTCAGAATAAGGAGGGAGAGCAGAGAAGGTGGGAGGAGAATTTAATACCAAGCATTCTGATTGACTCAGACCTCTAGACAAAGATTTCTATCTGAACGTGCACAGTCAAAGAGAGGGTTTAGAAAATCAGCGCTCCTTTGTGTCGCTTAAAGCTTGGACAAAAAGAAATGGAAAGAAAGAGGAGGATGATGAAAGAAAAACAGAGAGGGTGACTCACTCTCTGTAGCTCCTGGTTCTTCTCCTCCAGTTGTGCCTCCATCTGTCGCAGCCGCTCCTCAAAGTTGCCATGACGCTCCTCTGCCTGAATGATCGGCGAGGAAGAGGGGTGAGAACGGGAGCCGTGTTGCGACACTTACAAATTATCACAAAGGAAGAGAGCTTGTTGACTGAGTCTGCTAATTGGTTACATGCCTGTGCAGATGACAGCGCAACAGGGACGTTTGTTTGGCTGCTTCTTAACGGGGCCTTAATATGATCCTGCCACGAAAGCCTTCCTGCCTCAACATGCAAGACGAAACTATGGCCTTCAAAACTCTGACAAAGGGTGGGGGGGTGAATGCAACACACGTTTTTGGCATGGGTGAAAATTTTGTTTACAGGAATTAACAATGAAAAGAGGAATTTGTGTCGAGTGCGGTTCCTGATGTGTTGCGGATCAAACAGCCTCGCTGATCCTGCAAGCTTTCAGCTGGGAGCTTCAGCTCTGTCAAATATTTGGCTGACATCTGTTGATTAGACATTAGTCACTGCTTGCACCTGTGGAAGTTAAATATTTAATTTTCAGGAGAGTGAAGCCCCATTTCCTCTAATAACCTTCCCAGATTAAACCCATCCATGTAGTTTGCGTTTCTGGTTGCAGTTAGAGCGACACCCTCTGCTGGGTCACATGCCTGTAAGAATACCTGCAGGGTTGGAGTGTCTCTCATTTTATCATTGCTTGTGGATTTTTTTACAGTTTCAATTCATTTTGTTATTATTTTTTTGCTGCCTTCGACAGCTAAAGAGATTTTATTTCAGTGAGACTGTACTTGTTTAACTAACTGAACAAATAAATAAATAGTTAGGGTTTTAAGGTTTTAGTTTATTGTTGAATTGAATGTTTTGAGGATAAACACTATAAATCCTGAATTTAATTAATGGTGAACTAAAGGCCTCAACGACAAAATTATTCTAATTATTCCACCAGAAAAAACTAATTGAATTGAATTATATGAAAGTCAAAATCTAGCAACAAGAAGGAAGATTTTTTCAACTTTTACTGTATTCAGTCATTTCTCTGGAAATCACAACAGCAACTTAAGGATATAAATACAGTATATTTTAGATATTCATCCTTCATTTTAGACATATTTACTGACTCTGCCTCACAGATAAAACTAAAAGTATTTCTATGTACTGTCCAATAAATGTGGTAAGTACTTGACCAGTACAGGAGTCCTTCTGTATAATATAATAAAAAGTTACATCGATTCACACCAGATCTGCAGTAAGCCGGTTTGGATTCTGTTCCTCTTCACTTTCCCCTCAGACCCTTAAGCCTTCTTTTCCAAATGAATGCTTGGAATTTACTGTCGCCTTAAAACAGGAATTTTGATTACTGAAAAATCACATTTTCCTCCTTAGTCGAGGTTAGGTTTTCCTAAAGGTGTATTGTGTCTTAGATGTGTATAAATGTGATGGAAAAGCTGCAGCCCACAGCTGATTAATTGTTAGGTTGATTCAATGATGATTATAAAATTAATGTACAGTACATATAAAACATTGAAGAAATGAGATGCTTCACTCTGTCTTGTGATTCAGTCAGTGGAGCATTCTGTCTTATGACGTGATCAATTGTCCTGTCAGAAGAATACTCTGTTTTGTAACCATGTGTTATGTTTTGTTTATAAAAAGGCACTGCAGGAGGGGGGTCCGAGAGAGGGTTAGTGAGTTGGGTGTAGCTCTTTCTCCTTCTGCAGAAGCTGTTGAAAATCCCTTTCTGTGTGTACTCAGTCCCTCTTTTACGAACCTACATTTTTGAACCTAACATTAATCGACCCTAAATCACTGCACGGCCTCTGTCAGCTACGTTTATTCCTAATGATTATTGATACACTTTTTCCTTCCACCAAATTTTCCCTCAGTGGCTGTTTTTTATCTTTGTAAGGCTATTACTGCATGGTAGAGCAGTTTGTAGCACTGTTGACTTGAAGCAAAACGATCCTGGGTTCAGTTTCTTTCTGCATGATGTTTAGGTTCTCTCTGGCTACAAAACATGACTATTAGATTAAGTTGCATCTCTAAATTGCCCCTAGGTGTGACTGTATGTGTGTGCATGGTTGTATGCATTGACCCGTTAAGGGCTGGCATCCTGTCCTGGGTGTTTGGATGCATATTGATTCAAGCATCGAACCGATTCTCAAGAAAGAGAATCAGTTATTTTTTATCCGGTCTGATCTCAGATTGGATTACTGGTAATAAAAACATTTTTTTTTAGCTGTTACCTGAGTTATACGACTGTGTAGACAAACAGCACAGGAATGAAGTAATGAAAGCTGAAGGCGGCTGTATGGAATGCATTTTTAAATACTTTTTTTTGTTCAAATGAATTGATCTTTAATAAATAAATGACATTTGAATTTTTTGATTAACTGCATTATTGTGACATAAAATAAATATTTGAAAGATGTCTCCTTGTGTGAAATCTGTTTATTTAATGCAATAGTTTTACTTTTTTAATTGATTTACAGTAACTACTTCAATTAAGGAATCTGTTAGAGATATTGACATTTTTTGATGGAAGTTAGTCTGTTGCTGCGTTTTTACTTTTGAATGAACAGGGACAGAGAGGCCATGTTTCCAGCTTAGACATGCTGATGTCACACAGACCTTGTTGAGCGCTGCCACTCTCTGAGCGAGCTGGGCTTCGATCTCAGGCAGCGTCTCGGCCCTTTGCAGGGTTTGCTGCAGCTTCTGTTTGGCGTCGTCCAGGCACTCCTGAAGCTGCCGGTTTTTCTCCTCGCTCTGCAGGATGACATGGAGAGACTCAGAGAGCGTAGAGCGCCCAGGGCAGCAGGCATGATTAAAGCCACAGACGAGGGGAAGGTAAATGCCTCAGAGACACGCTCTGAGTGCCAGAGTGGGAAAAACTGCCAAGCTGCCAATCAGCAGCAGCAACACGGACACACAGACGGATGAAGAGGCTTCCCACCTGTCTGTGGAGAGACTCCTTGCTGGCCAACTCGTTTTCCAGTTTGTCTTTTATGTCATGGAGAGACGTCGCCTCCCTCTGGGCACTCAGGTACCTGCAAAAATGGCAGACGGATGAGTCAGAGAGCACGAAGGGCCATTTTAGGAGTAAAAAAACACAAACCTGCGCTCTAATGTGGTAATTCTCTCCTCCATGTCTTCCCTTTGACAAAGGGCCTGGGGGATTAAAAAGAAGAAAAGTTGTTGAGAAAGCTTGATGAGTGTGAGGTTTCTGGAGGTGGACGTGGGTTACAGCTGCTGTTAGGTGAAGAGTTACAGTCACTGTTGACAGATTTCAGCCTTTTATTGAGCCGATTTAGTAAGATAAAAGAGCAGGAAGTGGATGGAAATAGTTTTGGGGGCTGGACTGCCTCTTATCCTAAAACACTTGGTGTTCCTTTCAACTAGCCTTCACTGACAGATTAACAAGGTAGAAACGCCTGCAGCCCAGCAGCTGAATGCTGCTGGAGGTTGTTCGCTTTCCAGTCTGACGCTTTGTTGCCACAGAAAGCTTTTTAAAAAACCTCCACTGTAACTGGAACACATCCACCATCCCATCGGCGACCCTCACCTCCTTCAGGTCCCTCTGTAGTTTCTGGTTGGCCTCCTCTGAACGGGCCAGCTCCCTCCTGGCAGATGTCAGCTGCTCCTCGATCTCTCCAACCTGAAACAAAAAGTTGATGAAATCATCCTTAGAGTGCATTAACTAAATCAGATAACAGATGTCACTTTTTTATTTTTATTTTCAAATTACCAGACAAGTCATGTTTGCTTTCTTATTGGAGGAGATTTTGTGTAAAACCTATTTAGAAAGCAGCACAATCAAAACCCAGTAAAGTGTTTCTATTCCTGTTAAAATAGCTAAAGTTTTAGAATAAAAACTGAAATTATATTTTCTCTTTCTAACCATGTGACAACAGGGTTTCTGCAGGTCATTAAAATCATTGAGCCATTAAATTATAATTTTTTTTTAAATTAAGGCCTTAATTGGCATTAAAATTCATTAAATGTGATTATCATGGCATTTAAAATGCTTTATAAAAAAAAAATTGTCAAACATATCAGATTTAACTGGTTACACATGTTTGCGTGGAATTGCTCCTGGTTGATCCTTAAGCTATATGTTCGGAACAGAAACTCGAGGCACAGAAAAAGCTAGAGAATG